ACTTGAAAATATTTCCATAGTAAATGTTCTGAACAAAATTATTTCTTATGATAATAAGCATCGACCAACTGAAATTCTATCTTAACAAAAGTATAAACAATAAAATAGTAAAATAATAGTAATAGATAATGAAAACTTAAGTAAAGTTAAAGAAAAAACAATTCCACGATAGATAAATTTAATAAATAGTTATTCCTACAGAGCTGATGAATAACGAAAATACCAGATCAAGATTACATAATATGGTTATATCAAAATTACATACAATATTTAGCATTAGTTGAAAAATGTAGCTATTATTTCGTAAAATCTCTTTAAAATTAAGAATAACATGAGGCCTGTTTGTTCCCGGGTCGTTTCATTTTACCCTGCCTAAAGGGTAAAAAGGCCCATGTGACATATTTGAAAAACAACAAAAAAATACATTTTTACAATGAGAATTTTACTGTCAGATTTGCTGAACGTCATATAATTGTTTGTTCTATTCTTGATTATTTGTTCTGATAAATTGGCTTGGTTTTCACAATATAATTGCTCAAAGTAAAATTTGGACATTGTGCCCCGCCCTGCCCCATATTACATTATATATTATACAATTTATATTTGTGATGTGTTCATATGTTGAATGCGTGTATAATAATTTACCCCGTTCGAGTTTTTCATTGGAAACATATAATCCATATGTTGCTGATAACAATATTTGCTAAAACAAATCTCCGTAGCGTGATATTCGCGATTAGAAATCATGATTCATTAATAATTACGTACATCATTATGTAAATAATGAATAGATATTGATATGACGCGACAAAATTATCTACCTTGAACTATTACATATATATGAAATATTATATTCAGGTGTTAGTGCTTATATGTAAATAAATTACAATTCTTTTTGTCCAAACATGGAATTGAGTTCTGTAATTCGGAGTTAAGGTCGTGTTCAAATGCCAGCAAAACTATTGTATATGCCCTTATGTCCTTCCATAATTTTTTTATAAACTCCTACACAAATCTTATAGTTGTTCATGCTTTTAAATTTGTTAGGAATAATTTGACATATTTTAAATTCGGTTTAAAAGCAGGTCATCCGCATATTAACTTCATTATAGATATTTGATAAAGCGACTCTAATCTTGTAACAGGTATTATAACTTAAGAAGTTTTTGAAAAGAAACATACAAGTTGAAGCTGAGTATATCGGATAAATTTTTTAAAGTTATCATTAAAGTTTCTAAAGCAATGGAAGTTTAGTCGAGCTTTTCTCAACTTATAACTTTACTTAGTAATTGTATCAAACTAAAATTGTTTAATTTTTTACTTTACCTTTAAGATTATGTCATTATTAATAATACAGTTTTATCGTTTCTGTACAGTTATATTAAAAGCAAAAATTTTTTGCCTAAAGTTTGATCGAAATTCGATGACTAATAATGGATATATACATATTGAACAAGACGTATTGAATCATTTATTTGCAATTGATAGCTGAAAATTTTTTAGAGACTAATGGGTAAATTTAATACATTTTCCTTTTTATGCTCATTGCTCAAAACGGTTTTAATACAACTTTTAATAAGTAAGTGAATTGATCGGCCGAGCCATTTTTTTCTAGTTTCATTTTAATAGCGATTAGAATTCAAACATCTTGTAAGGATCTGAATTGCCATATTTGTTTTTTAGAAGGCAACTCAAATAGTTGTTCTATCTCTATTGCTATCTATATTTTCAAGTGAAAATTGATATCACTACTGTTTGAGGAGGATATTCAACCTGGAATTTCTGATTGAATTCTCATGAATTTAATAACTAAGCCATAGGGGAACCCCAATTTTTATATTGATTTACATTTTATACCTTTATATCTCAAATTTTGTTCTTTAAATCCTCATTCAATACGAGCTTTTACTGCAGTTATTTATGTGGATAATATTAAATAATGTGGCTATTTTTCAAAAAATAAATACTGATTCTATTGATGGTTGGTTATCTAGAACATTAATTAAAATATGAAATATTTTTGTAAAAATGCTTACATGTTCGTAGAAAACATTCCTAGCTAGCATCCCACTATATGAAAGAACTGGTTCTGGTGGACTGTATATATATTTTTTTTTCGTAACGATATCAACACATTTTTTATTTTTATGCTAGAAAATTTACTCTAACTAAAAGCTAACGCAAAGACGAAAAATAACATTATAATGAACCCGTTTGCGACTTCCATAATGCCAGTAATTCTATTTCATCATAAAACATTCCTTTTGGAATGCGAAAATGCTTCGAGTCCGTACAGAACAATTTTTATTAAATAAAACTGAATTATTTGAAACAAAGTTTCTGTCGTTGTTTCAGCTCAGCTTTGTTTATTAAGGAATGCAGTTGATAATGTATTCTGATTTTTTAAATATTTAAATAAAGGTTTCATAATTATTTTCTGAATACTAAATTAGTTAATCCTTTATATCCTTCTTCAACACGAGGAAATCTAATTGTATTTTTTATATTATTAGGACAAATATTATTCAATGATGATATAAAAATGTTATTTTTAATATCTTTGAAGCTTAGAATCACTTGGAACTAAATAAGTCTAAAGCGTTATTGGATAATGTTAATAACAAGAAGTAGTCTGCCCAAAGGCAGGTCTATGGTGTGAGAGCACCACAAATTATTTATTCACTTTCTTTGCCTCATTTATTATTTCTTTAACCTTTATTCGCTTAAGCATTTTTCTTTCTAAACTTCTGCTTCCATGTTTTCTGGTCTCATGCTTTGGTTTTCAGTTCCCTGTAATTTATCTTCCTGCGTAAGTCGTCAATCATCTGCATTCTTCTTCTTCGCAATTCTTTCATTTCTTTTTTCTCTATAACTCGTAATATTTTAAAAGGATGCAGTTTATAATGATTTATGATTTTTTAAATATTTTAACTTGAACAAAGATTTTATAATTATTAGCTGAATTATTCTAATTTTGATTAAATACCTTATTACGTAAATTGTGATTTTTTTAAAATTATTATTTGAAAAGCAATCAGAACTTAAAGGGGTCAACAAGCTGTTTCCATGAATTGACTTACAATTAGCTATAGTTACATTGATTTTATTGATGGCAGGAAACCAAATAGTTGTTCAATTTCTATTTGATGAATTTTTATTATTACAATTTTTGTAATAGCGAACAACTGTCAAGTAGTATAATTGATGTATTTTTACCACTCATGATTCTAATAAATCCAGAATATAATCATTATGGAGCCTAGTTTGAAATATATCGGGTGTCACAACATGACATGTGTGTACTCAATGTATTATGTTTATAAAAGTATATCAGTTTTTATTTAATGTAATATGATACATGTTTGATGAACATTGCTTTTGTTCATGTTTATACGAGTAATATATTGATTTATGTGTTCAACCTTTTAAAGGCTACTAAATCAAATATATTCACTGTTAGAATTTCAACTTTATGCTTTTAATATACAATAAGTAATTAAGAGTTAAACTCGAAAATTAAGAGCTATTTTCAATTATTGATTGCGTTAATAAATTTTATCTGTTTATTAGTTCTAATGTATATATTTTGAAATCAAGGCTTATTACACTTATTACCATTATAATAAATTTACTTACTTATATCTAGAAATAAATTCAAATATGCAAAGATGAGCAAAGGTTTAATATGCAAGATAAGCGAGCTTTTCATATAGTATAAAGTTATTCCTATATATTTGCATATGCCATTTCAGATAAATATAATTATAATAAATCATTAGTTAATACGCAAGTTATTTCTTTATTCTATAGATATTTATTATAAATTAATAAATGTGTACATCTCTAACTTTGTCTCATTCATAATAATCATATATTCACATATTTCGCATACAAATATATTTTACAATATATACACATATATTTTCAATTTTGTGTACAAATTGATGTCATACTTACAAGGAATTTTTAATTTATAAATTAGTAATCGCTATAATACAGTTAAAATTAAATCAATTTAATTAGACATTATACCTTAATATACATTCAATTATTAACTTTAATATGATACTTGTATATTATTTGGATCATATTTGTTATGTTGTAATTAATATATAATTATTGAATTAATAATTGCTTTTATACAGTTGAAGTTAAATTAAATTGATTGGGCATTAAATCTTAATATACATTCAATTAAGAACTTTATTATGATATTTGTATATTATTTAGATCATACTAATTTTGTTGCAAAGAATTTTTAATTATTGAGTAAATAATTGTTTTTATGCACTTAATAATTAAGTTATATTTGATGATATTTAGCTATCATTTACATCTAATAGATAATCATATTAATTTTGTAGATTAAAATAAGCAAATATATTTATCATTAAATCACAAATTATTAAAAGCTATAAATATATTTATCATTTAATTACAAACAGATTGCGTTGCAATTATAATGATTTTTTGTTTAATATTAATAATTTAATTCAATTTGTTGCAGTATTTAATTTATTGCTAATTATTGAATTTTGTAAATTTACTACTAACCCCATTTTAAAAATTTAACAACATTTTAGAAAACGCATTTTTTTCAACACGTTAATCGCCACGATAATATCAGAAAAAAATCACATGGGCCATAGTAACTTTATAATATAATTTGGTTTAAAATGTATCAAAAAAACTTAATGTTTCAATGAAAATGTTTTTTTTTTTGACAAATTCCTGGAGAAACACTATTTATTTATGCCCCATATGACAGATATTGCCTATATTAGAACTTTTTGTTCCGAAAAGCCAAGAAATTTTCAGTTCAATTTGTTATTTAGGGTTGACATGGCTCATGTAGAATTTCTTAGCGTCAGACGCATATGACTGATATGACGATTAACGTGTTAATTCATATATAACATCTTTAATAAGTAAATAAATTAATTTTAACTAACAATATCAATTTTAACTAACTTCAATTAACAAATAAATTGATTGTTCTGTTAATTTAAGTATTTTTGGTCTAAAACAAACATGTTTGCCTTGTGGCCTTTTGCTTTTAAACCTTTAACTGTGTATAATCTGCCAGCATTTTTGTCTTTAACTGGTTTACCATTGGTTGCTTCAGCAGCCGTTGTTACAAATAGAATGTTCATGTCTTTGCCACCAAATGCCACTGAAGTCACCTAAATTAAAAGAAAGATATCTTTTAATAATTTCTATTTTTACTTTTAATTTTTATTATACTCTTGATATAAAGCAATTAGCAAATTTTTTTACCTTTATTTTTTAATTTCAATTAAATTACAGAAACACTATTTTTAGAGTTTTATTCCAACTATGTTCATTATTTTCTGCAAAACATTTTATTTTTGAGTTTTTTTTTATTAATAAACTTAGAGAGTTGTATTCATTTACTACAGGTTGATTCAAACAAGCAATTAAACTTTTATAGAAGTCTCTAGAAAATAGAGCGTAGTTGAAAACGTATTTGCAACTACCTTTACAAATTACAAAGAGAAATTCAATTTTAGCTAATTGCTCTGAATTGTTGCTTCTGTTTTACACCAAGAGTTCTTGAAAGGGCAGTACATTAAACAGATTCATCATTTTTTATATACATATATTCGATTTAATAAAAACCGAAATCCAAATAAGTCTAATTTTAAGCTCAGTTACCTGACTTCTTGCCTTACACATGTGTAAATGAAATATTTGTAGGGCATATTACAAATCAATCTTTCTACAGGAAGTTACTGCAATATATATTCGTGTAATCATGTATTTTTATAACTGTTTTTTTATAAATTTAAGATTTTTTATCATTTAAAAAATTATTGTTAGAGCTAAAACGAAAAAAATGTAACTGTAAATGTTAGTAAAATGCAGTTACATTTATTGCTGTTAACTAATGACGATGTTATTAACTGAAGTATAAATGAAATATTAATTACACTCGTTATCATTATTATTAAAATTATTACATTTTCTATAGCCAGTGAATAACTAGAACTCCATCGAAATTTCAGTTTAAAATTAGTTTATCAGAAACAATGCTTTAGTGGAACTATATTTCCAATTTATTCGATGTGCGTTTTCAATTATTCATCTATCTGAATTTCTTATTTCTTGATTTTCAATTGAATGAAGATTCAAGTTGAAATTGATTTCAATAATTAAAGACTTACTTGAGGTGCGGGTATCATAATCTCGTGTATAATTTCCTTCTTGATTGGATCAAATTGTAAAACTCTTCCTCCACCGTGCACAGCAATATATAAAATACCTGATATAAACATCAGTATTATAAATAGTTGTTTCATATTTTTATTTTATTAGCATTTATTGAATTTTGATTGCACGTGTATTTTTATTGTGTGCTTGTGTATTTATATGTATATATATAATAATAATAATAATGTATTTATAATAATAAACAGACATTAACAGGCAAGTTTAATTCAAATTTCACTTTTTACGTTTATACATCTTTAAAGTCATTAATTTACAGGAACGTTAATCAATGTTTAAAATGTTTTGCAAAATATATTGCAATGTTTTTGCAAGATATTTTTTAATTAATTATTTGCTGGTTATATACGTGAGTGTGCAATAACAACAGCCCCATTGCAAATTTTAATGTAGATCGAATAAACATTTTTGCATCCAAACTAATATGAAAATGGACCATTCTGCCACATATTATGATCAAATACTGATTACAACTGTATCATAAATTGATTTTTGGTTAAACAATATTTAAATAATAATCAGAAAAGTTTTTATAAACTTAGAATCACTATATAAAGTTTATATTTACCCTCAGTGTCTATTGTCATTCCATCAGGCACTGCACTTTCTGGAAGTTTATATTTTTCATCAGAAATATTTATTAATACAACTGGGTTTCTTATCATTCCAGTCTTTTCATCATAGTCGTATTGAGTTACTGTGTGTTTAGTAGAATCGCAGTGATACATTTTCCCTAAAAACAAACAGAATAATTTATAGTAGGTATACTATAAGTTTTGGCTCTTGAAATCTAAGAACACGTATGACATATACATATATAGATCTTTACATTATCATGAATCTACAAAAGAGCTTTCGAATTTTGAAACTTTTAAATTTTTATATCAACTTGCTATAGAAACTTGCTTTCAACTTGCTTTCTATATCTATATTCTGATCTGGATCTTAATATTTTTGTTAGTAATTTGAACTTTGTTTCTTACATGGTTGTTTTGGCTATTCTTGTATCTTAGAAGGCGATTATTTTTAAGGATTATTTGGCTTCTTGGTGATGCTTTATGATATTTAAAATTAACCCCTCCCCATTCACTCAACAACACGTGTATTTTTAATTCCTAGAAAAAATGTTAAATTTTTGGAACTTTTTTGAAAAATGTTGATTTCGTTTAAAATTCAAATAAAAACACATGAAATCTTACTAGGCCCCGACTTTCCTCATATTATATTTCGTGATTTCAAGCCCCCTCCCTTTTTAAGCCACGTGATTGAAGGAAGCCTCTTCATGACAAATGTTTGTAAAAAAATGAATTTCGGCATTTTAAAATAATTAGTATTTTATGGACATCCTTTATGATTTAAATTAGTTTATCTTTTATATCCTTCAACAACACAAGGCAAAATAATTGTATTTTCTTAAATCAGTAGAAAAAACTATTTTTAATGATGTTACAAAAATAATAATAATATCTTCAAAACTTTCATAATAACTTGGCAAGAAATAAGCCGAAAATATTGCTGCGCATATATAATGTGTAATATTAATGACTTAATTTGATTTTTGCTTTGAAGACTGTTGCTTTTAACCTTACATATAATAAATTAAATGATTTATTTAAGTATTATTATAGCACTAAAAACCATTATTTCCACCTTTGAAAGGCTTTATTATTTTCAGTCATTTAAAAGTAGTTCACCAATTATAAGTTTAATTATGAAAGTTTCATCATAAGTACCAAACGTGTTGATACTTTTCGCATTATGGTCTTTACACGTGCTGACATTCTGTCATAAAAGCCAAAGTTTGGCCACTTCAAATAGGTATTTGGTGAAATAGATTCATACAATTTTTCTGGAAAAACCCTATTTTATTTTTGCCTCCAACAAATACAAAAAGTCACTAATTAATTTAAAATTAGCTTTATTGCAATTTTATGGCATATTGCATAAAATAGAAGCATATCGCTTAATAATTGACGTGGATGCTATAGCATTCATTGTATATAACAATGATAATCTGATATTCTTACTACCCTTTTATAATTTAAAACTAAAATGGCTGTCAATTTTTGTACCTTGCTAAATCTTTTACTGTCCACGAACGTGTTAATTTCTCACTTTATAAATATTTTAGGGACAATGAAATATTTTATTCAAGCTATGCTTATTTTACAATAATGTCATACTTTATCTCGGCAATACTGCAAAAATTCTTTTACGATGTAGGCGGGTGGATATTTTTATATGTGGATTTTCGAAATATTTTTAGCTATTGTACACTTTTATATCTTAGAGAAACATATTATATTTGAAAGTGTTGAGTTTTATGTAGCGTCACGTTTTACGTTTTACGTTTCAAGAGCTATTTATTTTTATTCTTACCCAATTCCCTGTTCCAAGCAATTCCGTTGGATAATCCGACGTGTTCGAGCAATATCTGCTTCGTTAAATCCGATCCTAGAGACAACAATATCTCATCGTACCTATAGAGAAAATTAAGTAGGATTTTATTGCAAACACTTAGTTTAATCTTTTTATATTTGTTTTCGTTAAATGAAACTTTGAAACAAACAATTCCATGATTATGAGAGATATTAAATATTAAATACTTCATTTGTTGAAAGTAGATTTTGTTGAAAAACGTTATTCTTAAATGGCTTATTTTCTCATACACAAACTTTTTGTCGATTTGAAAGCGTGTTTAGTCTGCTCCTAAATATCAATATTGGCGCTCTTTTTTCAATAGTAAAATGGATTTGTCGTGGCAAAGATCGTTAACGCGTTGACTTTGTATGGATAGGGTCTTGCGTTCGAATCACCGCTCTGGCAATCTGACCTCGGGCAGCGCGAAATGGAAGTGGGAAATACCCTCACACTAATTCTTTCCTTAATTGTGTTCGAGTTTAGCTCAGCTCACAGACCTGCATAAGGGCAGTACTACCCATTATTAATAAGATGGATTAAATATATATGTTTTTGCCAAATAATCTGATTTGCTAAGTTTTTGTTTTCTAGACGTTTCAAGTCATTTAGCATCGTTTGCTAACAAATTGAAAGAACATGAATTCGTGGAAAGTTCGCATTTCACTGCTTGAAATATATCATTTTGCAATCGTGCTGATTTGTCGTTGTAAATAAACTAATTTTTGCTCAATGATATGGTTCATACTTTAATCGAACATTCTAATATGTTATAGACCTACAAAAGGTGGTTCAATTTCCTTACATATTAGAATAATGGGGTTGGGTCATGCATTTAGATAAACTAATTTATGTAATTTTTATTGGAAATTGCATTGATTACTATACAATAATAAACGAAATTTTTATTTTTAAAATGAACAGTTGAAAAATACCTAAAATGCGGCGATAAGAATATTAAAATTTCTAATCTCAATTGATTTAATATTGATGAAGTCTATTTACAGATATCGGGAAAGTTAATGCAACTTGTCTCAAACCACATCGCCACTTACAGAAAGTTAATTTTTAACATGATTTAAATATGTGTTTTTCACTTCCCGTAGTGAAAAGTTATAGTAATGAGCCGAAAATCGAGAATGAAAATTTTTGCAAATCTTTACGTTTCACAGGTTTCTGAACATCTTGTCATACCTCAGAAAAAATGTATGTGTGCGTGTGTTGTTGTTCTACAACACAGTCATTGAGACATGGTTGTACTGATAGTATTTCAATAATTGTTATGATAAATTCAAAATAAATCAATAAAATGGCGCATATTTCAATTATAGAACTTCAGGATAATAATTTTAAATGATTAGATTTTTAGTAATTATAACTTTAAGTTAACAGCGTCAACCCCATTAAACAGTGAGTCCAGTCTTATGTCATCAGAATCGAAGTAAAATTTGTTTGAAGAAAAATGCCACAACTATTTATTTTATATTGATATAGTATTAAACTATTCGAAACATCTTAAAATTCGAGAATATGTTTTGGTTTTATTTTAAAAATTGCAATCTAACTAGCCAATGGTCAAAGATTTATACGCATGGCGAATATAGTCGTCAATACACAAAATTATGCCATTTCTTCGTGACGAATATAGTCGTTAATACACTTTCATGACTAGTATTTTAGTCAGTCAACATGAACTTGTTAATTCATGTTACATTAGATGAGTATGTATGGTATAAGGTTGTCAAATATTGGTTGCCTTTTTGTATTATAAACCAAGGCAAAAAAGCGGAAGGGAGATATTTGACAACCTAATATATGCATTTTTAATTATTTTAGCAATGAATGAATTAGAAATTTGACGACAGTATATTGTTCTATAAAGTCTTAGCTTATAGATTGTGGTATATAATGTGGCTCATATTAGTAGGTACCTATAGTATGCGTCGTTCTCTCCACTCCTTCAATTGATCTTCAACCTTCATTCAGACAATTTTAAACTTTCTGAACGTTGCGGAAATATAAAGCAAATAAACTGTCGAAAGCATTTCAAGTTGCTCACCTGCCACGAGTCTTCCCATAAAATCGACTTTGGCGTCGTTGAACCTTGTCCCAGCTTTTCTGTCGTCAATCTTGACGAGTGTTCGGACGGTCTTAATGTCCGGGGAAGATCCATCCCACTGCACAAGCAATAAATCCAGATCTGCGCCCACAACGAACTGGTTATTTGTACCATTCACGGGTATTGCGAAACCCACACTTTTGGTTCCATTCAATTTTCCTCTGTATCGATTCGAAAGAAGGGGTTTAAACATTGATTAACAGTATCACACACATTTTATTGCTTTATTGGATTTGCCGTTTTATTCAAACTATTTATAATTCATTTTTCAAGTAAATTATTTATATTGTAAATAAAATAAAAACCTGATATTTTTTATTTTACTTTAGGAAAACGTTTATCAATCTTATTTAAGTATTTAATTTAGGTAATACAGTTTTGTCTTCAAGTGACTGAAAATAGTTTCATTACATGATTTTATCGAATATGATATAAATTACTAAAATGCTTTTTAAATAATAAGATATAATTTACTATAATAATTTTTGTTAATTCTTGCGAATAATAAGCATATACGGTCAAAAGCATTAGCATTGACTATTTTACTATTTTGTATAAATTTACACAAATCCTTCCAAATATTAATGTCTACAGCTCAACGTATTTTAAAATATAGTTTCTAGTAAAGGTACAATTTGATTTTTATTTACTGTCTAATTCGAACAAATTTTTAGTTTCATAGTATCTGATGATAGCTACAAATTCCAGAAACGTAAAATAAAATAAAGGAAAAATTATATAAATATTTTTTTAAGAATAAATTATAATCCAACTAAATTATAAATATTATAAATAAATAAATTATAACCCAACAACCTGAATTATCGAAAGAGAGCTTTAATAAATTTCATAACTATGTAACGCATAAACACAGGTTTAGTTAAAAAACTAAATTATGATATATAAATATACATATATATATATATATATATATATATATATATATCTGTTTGATTACCTGTAGAACTTTTTATTCTCTGGATTATATCGCAACAAACTACTAGAATGTATATCAACAAAATACAGCATTCTGTTTTTTTCATCCCAATGTGGCCCCTCGTTCAACTCATTTCGTTCTTCGCCTAATAAATGAATAATTTGTTAAATAGGAATATGATTTAAGAATAAAGTTGTTATCTATAATTTATTAAAATAATTAATAACAAAATATTTAAAGGAACCCGATTTTAAGTAATAATTAATAAACATAAAATTCACAGATGATTTTTACTATTCTGGCTTCCGTCGCAAAGTGTTACACGTTATTTTTGGATTCAGAATCATATATTCATTATTCCGGTATAGAACATATTAAGATGTTTATTTGTTCAGGATAAATATGGGTTGTACAACAAACGATTTGCAATATAATTCGAATTTAAACCTACAATACATAGATTTTTTTTTCTCTCGCACACAATTTTATTAATAATTATGTTATGAAACTAAGTTAGCACATATGATGTTTCGATTTAGATTATACACACTTTTGATCTCCAAACAAATATATTAAACATTAGACAAACAATTTGATATCAATTGAGTAACTAAACTCGAACTATTAAACTACAGTTAAAAATTTAAGAAATATTTATTAGTAATTTGTCTCAGGGTTTATCAAAATTTGTTTATCAAAATTTAGTTTACAGAATTCAGTATAACTTGATTTAGATCATATTTGTTTATTAATGTAAAAGTTCCTCAATTGAGTTTACCTAGCAATTCCACCTGATATTTATCACAAGCCGACAAAACAACTCCGAAGAGAAATATTAATTGCACAAAAATTAGTTTCATTTTTTATTTTTATTATAATGTAAACACTAGATTATTAAACAATAATAAATAATAAAATAATTTATTGCTGTATTACTATCTACTAGTATGATTAGAGCGTGCAAGTAGCATACTGTAGTGCACTTGACTTGGGAAAGACTTATATAGACGTATTAATATTTACTACAATCTAATACAAGTATATGTGTATACATAGAGCCGTATATATGTATGTATATATCTATATATCTATCTATCAAACATTACTTAATTTCACTTCAAGCTTTATGCATAATTAGCCTTGATTACTTTTTACTATAAAATTACCGATACAAGCGGACAGTTATATTGCACAGGGTCTCAACTAATTTAGTTTTTGCTATAAAAATAATTTATAAATAAAAATGAGTACATAACTAGAAAAAGTACGAAGAATAAAAACAATTTACATCTTTATAATATTTCTATTAAGCTCATATTTAAATGTATAATTATTTATATAATTATTAATAATATAATAAGATAAAATCATTTATAAAATTATTTAGAAAATGGCTTAGTTTGAGCTGTATATTTTCTTATTTCATTTAATATAATTAAAAATAATTAAACTTTGTAATACTTTTATTTGTAAAATTTGACTCTTAAAACAAAAATATTTATTTATGATAGGGCGCAAAGGTAAATAAATTAGTAATAGTAATTAAGGTAATTTCAGTAATTATACTGTCTTTAAAATAAACTACATCACAAACATAACATGTATCAAAAAGAACTATCGATTTATGTTCAGTAAAACTGTCAGTTCATAATTCCTAATTATAGAAACATGTTCTTTAGGTATTTTTCTAAAATTTGTCATTTGTTCCTATTTACCCCATAGACTGGATAAAAATGAACAGCCATCGGGCAAACAGATACAATGACTTTAGAGGAAATTAATAAAATAATAGCTAAATTTTTTAACCAATGCGAAATAAATTTTCTTGGGCACATTTTTACAAAAATGAATCATATATAATATAATTGATCTGGTAGTTCGTTAGAATTATTTATCAGAACAGTAGGAAAAACTATTAATTTAACTCATCTCTTATAAAATGCTTTGTTTAACTAAATTTATTTTTTAATTTAATGTTTTCTTATTGTATACGCCTTTGCCAGGGTAAAGGTTCAGTTAGTCCTTTTTACCCATTACACATGTAGATGTTACACTCTTTATACTTTATATAAGGTTATACAATACCTTATATAAAACAATAAAATAACTTATACTTAAAATTATATTAAAGTCTCGTAAACTAAACAACAGGGCTCACAACCAAAAAACTAACAACGAAAGAAAATACTTTTCTTATAAATGTTAAAATATTCTTAACATTAAGCTGGTACTTTGCTGGTATTTTTTGTGTTCAATTTAAATCTGTTTTTGTAATGATAATTATTCTTAAAAAGTATTCTCAACAGAAGTTTCAATTTTATGTCCAATAATGAAATATTCAAATATGCAAAACGTGAAAAATATTTATAAAATATGTTTGTTCAGGCACGTTTCATAGATTTCTATCTTCTGTCATATGAATATGCAAATTTTTAATAATGATAATATTCAAACAATCGGTAAATGAACTGTTATTTGCAAATGAAACATTAACTGATTTTTTATCTTGACCGAATATTTGGTTCAGTGATTTTCCAATACGTGCAGCAGTAGAAGCAAAAATCCGATATGAATGTTTTATGAATGTTCGTACATATCTTCGTGTTTTTTGCATCAACGAGTTTTGTCACATAAGCAGATGTTTGAGATAAAGGTTCTATTCTATATTCAGGTATTTTTTTAGATATCTATTAGCATAAATTATTTAGTTGTATATCTCTATAGATTATTACTAATTTATAGAAAAATATTGTCTAACCCTTGCGTTTTTAAGTTTTATTATTACGCATCAATATATGTAATAAATATTTATTTCGAATTCAGGTTGATACGTGGAATCAATTGGTAGATTTTCTCCATTTTGCTGTCCAATTTTCTGTTACCTAATAAAGATATCAGTACAGTTGATTCTTTTAAAATTGTACGTCTGATCATTATGATCATTTTCTAGATTGGCATAGCCTTTTTTGAAATTTGAAATAGGAATGCATGAGATACTTCTAAAAGGCAGTATATAAAGATAAAACTTTCCTATACAATCAAATCCCATAGAATTTTATGCTTCTACTAATAAGCGAAATTTTTGTAAATCTTAAGAACGCAAATCCTCAATTGGCCCTGAACATCGCGCAGTCGTAGTAAATATCTTCCGTGAATGTTATTATTTTTTAGTTTAGATTTCATCAATATTTAAAAAAAAATGAAAAGCTAAGGGGCTGACTTGACATTTATTTTAAAATATTGGCAATTTTTTATCCGTTTATATTGATTTGTTGGACAAAAGTAAATAAATAATTCGCAAATATTTATTACCAAACTTGGTACCCATGGCAGCTGATCAAATAATATTGCGTCTTTAGATAGCTGAAATATAGATATGATATAGATAAAAATCACATCAATAGAATAATTGCTGAGAAATCAGCTCATTTCTCTTTTTTTTATCCCAAACTCGGCCGGGCTCTACATTAGGCAGCATGATTTCAAATTTCCATTTGACGTTATAAGTCTCAAATATAGCCACAAGTAAAAATTTACTTTTAGCAGGTATATAAAATCATAAAAAGTCAAAAATACTATTTAATTTATTAAGAGTAAGTTATTAGTCACAACTAGGTAGGACCATTACTAGGTTGTCTACCAATAACAAGTCGTATACTACATGTCAACATGTAATTTGAACAGATTGTAATAGAAAATAATTATAAAAAATTAAAAAAAATCTAATTAAAAATTGCAAATTATAGCAGCAAAGATCTTAAAACATGAGTAACACCTTATTAAGGGCACATTTGAAGTATTATCATAGATATCAATCCCACTGAGAGATCGCGCTCCATAGTTTGGAAACTACAGAACTAATTACTAAAATAATTTATGACGGCGTATTTTATTTATTTCAATTTTGATCGCTAAGAATAATATGAAACTCATAGTAAATATCCAACTATTAAGGTTTTGTAACATCTTATTCCGCATTCTCATCAGTTATATAGGTACTTTACTTCCGCTATCCTTTCTCATCGGAAGGAAGCTTAGGAACTGACGGTAGATGACGGAAGCTATTAAATAGAAGATGGGTTTGGGTATACATAGGTACTGTTATATATGTATAAATACAATATCGATATCACCTTGGATTTTATTTTTCACACTTTCTTCACGAAATATTTAAATTTCTTTATGTTGTACAAAGTCTAAAACTACTTATAAAATCACAGAATACCAAAAAGTAAATTAAATTAAAGGAATTGAATTCACGTTATTTAAATACATGCAAAAAAGTAGTATTATCTGTAATTTGGCTTATACATATTTATATGAATGTAAGTACACATCAATAAGAATTATAATTATGATTTTTTTTTAACTTTCATAACGCAACAATCAGATGTATAGGTATTATATTTATTTTTTTCGTGTATACATACATCATCCAATTTTTAAGCTCTTATATTTTGTCTATAGAGTATTCGTACATATGAAAGTTACAGTATTTATAATAATATATTTGAAAACATTCCATATACTTCGAGTATTTTATTACCGTATGGGAAGTTTCAGCAATTTGCCTTAAGACACGATGTCATACACCTCTTATTGTTAGTTTTGTTTAATTAGTGAGTCGATGAATTTTTAAAATATTATGTACAATTGAAACATAGCTTTTATATTATATATTTCGATATATAAGAAAAAACTATAGAATTAAAGTTGTTCAAATATGAGCATAATATTATCACTAAATTTAAAAGTTTATTATAAATAAAATCATTAATTATGATTTGTGATAAAACTCGCTATATTATAAATAGAACAGTAAGCGTTATATGAAAATGCTCTATATATATATATATATATATATATATATATATATATATATATATATATATATAAATTAAGTTTAAAATTGAAATAAGTATTTTGAATGCAACTTTGTTTTTTCCAAAATTTGAAGTCACGGATTGTAAACTTGTAAATGAAAGTTCACAGTTATGAATAATTCGAATTTTTTCACAATTGCTCTCAATGCCTGCGCAACTTTTGTTCCTGATATTTTATACACATTGATAATTATCCAGCTGATTTAGAATATAATTAGATTAGTTATAATACACAAAGACAAAGACTTTGATAAGTCTTTCAATTGGATTAATCTTGAATTATAAAAATTATTTTCGCCTTCAATTCGAATGTGTAATCGAATTTTCTGGCGAAAACACAACCTCCAGCCAGTCGAAATTATTTTCAACTAAATATGAATTTACTATTAATTCTTCATGTAGCACACATGTATTAAAAAAAATTAACTTAATAAATATATGTCAATAATTTTAGAACTGCCGAGACTTTTTACCATACACTAGTGTATAGATAGCCATATTCCTGTATTTAGACTTAAATTAAATAAAATTTTGATATATAAACCAATACATTGTACACATCTATGTTGTTTAATATTATAAATGTATACAGAGCATTATATATTCTGCTCTCCATAAATAATAAATTCAGATTAGTTGGAAATTATTTCTTTATCATCATTATTTCATTCCACAAATTCACTCTGCTCTTTTCCTATTTTTCCTGAGAATTTCACTATTAATTAATATTGACACAAATTTCATTTGCTACTTAATGTGACAAATTGCTTAAATTATTAATCTTTCAATAAATTGCCATGGTTGTTATTGACATTGTTGTTCTTACGATTAATGAAAGTTACCTTACTTTGTACAAAGCTCGCAAGTATTTGATATAGGATTTTTGCTTCTGAGAAAATTTAATTGAGATAATGAGAATTTGTCCTTCAAAACTTTTTATGTGGCATGTTTAAGCAGAGCGCTGTGCTCTCTATAATATTATAATAATGCCCGCGAGCATGACCTTTTCTTTGAAACTTTTAACTACGTATGTGATATTTACCTTATTTTGAAATAATTGATGTCTTACAATCCAAATAAGACATTTGCTATGAAAAATAATAAGCATGCAAATTAAGCAAATCTAAGATTTTGTTCAATGTAAGCGTTTAATTTTATCAGTCTGTGAAAATGTCTGTTACTTATTTGTATAGTCAATAATAAATTCTTATAACAGGATTTTCCCCAAAAACATATTTTTTTACATTAAGAGAAACGCGTCTATGATCTGGAAAACTGAAAATTATGATTTCCTGACCATGCAACAACAAGGCCATGATTATATTTTTTTCAGAAATTGAACTTTTACACATACATAATTTGATGTAGAAGGATATTGAAGAGATCATAATTGATTAATAGAGAATTTAGATGGTGCATATGCATTTGATAATTAGAGCTTATATATGCATATTAAGCCTTTAGATATTTCCACGTTTTTAGTAGGCAGTATTAAGCCCGGTGCACACGACGCCAGTATTCCTCGTAACATGATTTCTATCGTAACAGGATTTCTGGCGAGCAAGAATTTTGCGCCAGATTTTCACTTATTTTATGATTAATATTAATTTCGCGCATTTTCAAATAGATTATTATAAATATATACTGTGAATTTCACAATTTATATTTTATAGGTCTAAATTACACTAATGCTTATAAGTGTACAAACAGGGAATTGTATAAATTGTAAACAAAAACATGTATGTATCACATCTGATTGGAATTAAGTGAAATAATAATAATTAAAAGATAATAAAGATAAAAAAGGGGCATAACTAGTGTGAAATTTTCAAAAAGTCGAATTTTCAATTTGTTCATATTTCGATAGGTTATAATAACGTACCTAAATTTTAAATCGATATCTTAAAAAGTTTTTGAGTCACAGCCATTTAAAGAGTATGTATATAGTATATAGTATAACGATCATTTTATCTTTAATCGCGTTTTTCTCGAAACAGCATTTTTCGAATTTGCTGCAGCGATTACTCAAAAACAAATGATCCGATCACTATCAATTTTTTTGTACATGTTCTATATATAGTTCTCCGTAAAATAAACTATCGATTTTTTGATAGGATCAAAAATCGAATTTTGGCAGTCCAAAAACTTTTTGTTAAAAAACGCCGCCATTTAATCAATTTTTGATTTTTGTTTTATCGTAGTTCATTTTACAGACAATATTATCTAGTTTAACGAATTTTTTTTTTATTTGATCCACGTAGAAGGCCGGAATCACTGCAGCAGTGTAGGGCCTTTTTTGTGCCGTTGGAGATCGACGATAATTAAAAAAATAATTTTTTTTTTTCTTCAAAAACTTTGAGATGTGCTGATTAGTTTTTGGAAAAGGCAGGTCCAGCAATTACGGAGATAAAGGGCAATGAGTGCAGAAAATATAAATCAAGTATTTGAGAGAACGTAGCATCCGATTTGAATGATCTAAAAACATTCTACAACAACTAGTAATGATTGGGAGAAGTGGTAATTAGTTTTTGGCAAAGGCAGGCCCAGGCATTTCGAAGATACAGAGCTAAATGTGCAAAAAATGGCAGTTTTTGAGAGAACTAAGCATCCGATTTAAATGATTCAAAGAACTTTCAACTTGTTTTAACGAAATAATTGATTTTGGAGAAAAAATTTCTTGTTTCAAATTTTTCGAAAAAAATTTTTTTTTGTATATCGAAAATAATTTAGCTTTTTATTTTAATTCTGTTCTAATATACTTTAAACAAATAATTTCAACTTTCCAATTCAATTTATATAATTCTTATAAATATTAGACAATGTTTATAATAATCTATTTTAAAACATTTAATATTCCTCGATCATTTTGTTACGGTACGGGAAGTTCCAGCAATTTGCCACTAATTTTTTTTTCAATTTTGAGTATTTTTGCAAATTTCGAAATTTTTGAAATAAAACGATTTGAATTTTTTTTAAATTTTTTGGAAATTTTGAAATTTTTTGATATTTCAGATAAAATTACGAAAATTTGAAAAAAATGCATATTTAAAT